CCCTATATATAATTATATAATTATATATATATTTATATATATATATATAGAACACAACTATCCACAATGCAATGTGATAAGAGATGTTTACTCAAGGACACAATTCATAAACAAAGAAGTACTTCAGAAACTACTACTGACAAAACATTTGCTCATAATGGCACTACACCAGGTCTATCGGCAACGTAGTACCTTCTGGTTGTGATTGAGATGCTGCTCAAACATATTGATAAAGCGGTCGCCAGCCTTGTAAGCCCTGATAGTCGACACCCCGTTGAGCGTCTCACCGAAATGCGCAAAGATGGGCGAACGCGATACAGAATCCAGTCGTTTAAGCTGTGTAATGGGAGAGCATTTACACAAAGATTCAATTATCGGGTACAAAGGAGAGTGTAAATACACAATAATCAGGTATATGTATCAGATTAATAGGTTCGTGTAGTCAATTTGCGGGCACATAAAAACCAAATTTCCGGTACATCAACCAAATATCGGGTATATACAACCAATTTAAATTTACGTATATCAAATCAACGGGTATATTTATGCAATTCTCGGGTTCGCTGCATTGTGTATTTATGTTTGCACTGAGTAGCACTACATTGAACTACCCCCGGGAGTTGAGACTACGTATACATGAACAGGCATGCAAACAGTCACTATGGATAACACCACGAAAATGAAGTCTGTGTGTGGTGGCGTAGTGTGTAGTGTGTGGTGTGCGCCAATATATGTTGAATTGTGCGTATTGTGATTCTATGGTATGTGTTGTGTGAGAACACACTGAATTGACGAGTATCCAATACTTGGAGAGAAACATGGCAACAGAGAAACGCTCAACAGGCGTATACATGACAGGTATGTGAAACACCACACCTAAGTGCTATGCGTGTATGATGTAAGTCACACGATATTTTGAATAAAATGTACGGTAGAAAAAACATACTGTCATAATAAACTATATATATATATATATATATATAATGTATGTATGTATGTATATATATATATGTATGTATATATATATAA